AGTGAAGGTATTTGATGAGATACATGCAGTTAGTAAATGACACAGAATTCAAACATTCCTTGACAAGCTCTACGATATTCAATGAGAAACTAACAGTACAAATCTTTCAGGGTAAAGTTTTGTGGTATCTACAGCATCTCAGTAATGATTTTAAAACCTAATCTATCAAAATATTCCTATAAAACTTCAGAATATTGCCTAGTTCCCTTTTTTTTAATGATTATTCTTTGTTTTCCCATAAAGTACATGCACTCACTGGAGAGAAACAGAGAGACAGAGGGAAAGTGAGAAATTACTCCCCAGGGGAGATGGCCACACCACAAACTATCCTCTTCCATTCTCCTCCCAGGACTGTGGGCATGCGTGCTCATGCAACCAGCATGATTTTCAAGCTACCAGGTCTGGGACTGCAATGGCAGTTGGCCATGTGCTTTGATCCAGTGCTTTGACCACCATGTCACCTGCTGGTCCTGCCCAGTCCCTTTCTTAAATCAAGTCTATTAAGGCAGCATGAACTGGTAGGTTTGAGAATTAATAACAACAGCAAAAAGATTGGAATCTTAGCAGGATTTGTATTTGAAGTTGAAGTTTCGCATTCTAACATAAGAACTGTAAGGACTGAACAACCCTGGTAACTGAGAAAAGGTCAAGTTGGAAGATAAGTCATGGAGTAAAATATCAGTACACAGTAAAACCATCTATTGTTTAGTCTTTTAAGATGGAGAATGATTTTGGAGAATTTAGTACTCAGAAGATGTTAGATATAGATATTATGTCCAATAGCCTGAGGGCATAGTTGGTGCTTACCTACCTTTTTCATAATAATCGTAGACTAAGACTGGGGCTGGTTGAATATTGGATACAAGGTTACTTTGCTCAATAGAAAAAGTGAAGCTCTTTGGTACATCAAAAGCCTGTGGAGATATAAATTATAAATACATCATAGTAGGTCCAAAGAAAATAACTGAGCAAATTTTCTCAGAAGTTCATGATTTACCAATGAAATAGATCTAGGGTAATATTATCTTACATAATGGAAATATAAGGAGTTAAGTACCATGAAATCATACCAAAGTTTGAGTTCCCCTACTTATATTGAGCTGCAAGGGATTTATTGGGTTATCAGAAAAATCTTGATGCATTTATTGCATAGAAAAATACATAATAACTTCTCCAATGACCCAAGAGTTGAAAGCGTTTGAGGCGTGCAGACATTTATGCGAATGGAAATGTTGTACGATATAGAAAACAGGGCTGTGAAACTCAGGCCACAGTTTGGAGTTTTCTCATAAAACTGAAAATGAGAGCTACTATACAATCTAAGAATCCTACTTCTGAAATTCCAAGGAAAATGAGATCAGTGTCTCAAGGAGATGGGTACTGCAATGTTCCCTGTGGCATTATTCACAAACGTTGAGATATGAAAGCTAAGTACCTGTCAACAGACAGATGGATAAAGATATTGTGTAAATATACACAACAGAAAATTATTCTGCCTCAAAAAAAAAATTCTGCTATTTTCTATTTAGTCCAAACTTGGAGGGCATTATACTAAGTGAAATAAGCCAAGCATAGAAAGACAGGTACTGAATGATCGATCACACTTAAAGATGGAATTTAAAAAGCTGAAATCATTGAAGTAGAGCATTAAGTGGTAGTTACCAGGGATGGGGAAATCGGGGTACAACGTTTCAGTTATTAGAATACTCTCTGGAGCCTTAATGCATTATATGAGGTCTACAGTTAATGATATTGCATTGTATACTTGATATTTAATGAGTAGATCTTAAGTGCCTTCATCACAGAAAAAGGTAACTACGTGAAGAGATAAATATATAATTAGCTTGACTATAATAATCACTCGACTATTTATGCATATATAGGTATATCATGCTGTATACTTTATAAACCATTTCAATAAAATTTTAAAAATATGTCGACCTTTGTTGAAATTCAAATCAACATAAAAGAACTATATGTCAACTCTGACAAGACTATGTTAGATACTATGAGAAATGGAAAACAGAGAGACGATGATCCTAAACTTGAGACCAATCTAGTCAAGTAGCCAAGGCATATATAAGTTCTGAGTTAACAAAGAAAAGATGATCAGTGGAAAAGGACAATGATCATCTTTAATATCTCATTAAAATAAAACATTATGCACGTCTATAAGAAATAGAAACATTTATTATCCACAGAGGAAAACAAGGAAATCATGCAAGAAAAAAAAATGACTAAACTTACATTTTCCAAGTAGAAAAGAACATGGTTATTCTTGATTTCAGTCTTCATCACTTGGCCACTGCTTTCAAGCTTTGAAGGAATTGGTGAGGAAAGGTGGTGATTAGAGAGAACAAGGAAGTATCCCTGTAGAACTGAATGCATGTGCGTTTTATTTTGTCAAGTTTCAGTTCACGGACTGTTCCTTTGAACCATGCACAAGTAGGAATTAAATAAACAAATAGAGTAGAAACCATAAGAAATAATGACTGTTAATTGCTATCGGCTAAAAACCGAGTCCACCAGTACTACAGCAAAAATATAAATATGATAAGCTAACTGCAGTGGCAGGACACTATTCCCAGTGCTGGAGCCACGTGGAAGACATAGTTCAAATCCCAACTCGACCTGAAATCTGCTGGGTGCATGCACCCACGATCCTGTCTCTCTTTCTCTTATGAAAGAACTGAAATCTATAAGCTTGACTAAATAAATAAACTTGAATAAAATATACAAACTTGAATAAACTTGTAAACTCTGAGGAAATTTGTTTAAACGAAGAAGTCGGTTTTGTTTTGCTAAGCAATGATTCATTTTATCTGTACACTCTATCACACTCTCTGTGCTAAAAGGATGGGCTTCTGTTGCTTACCTCCTCAATGGATGACATCACTGGAGAAAAGCCTGATAGCATTTTTACATCAACAAGGACCATATTGGAGTTATTGCGAATTCCAGTATACCTGACATAAATTACCAGAATAAAGCACTGGTTTAAACATCAGTTTTAAAAATGGATTATTCTGACTTCAAAAAAATAAAATAAGATTTCCCAGTAAGTAGTAATAAGTGGAATAAAATGTAATGGATAAAAATGTAAATGGATTAATAATGCTCTGAATTTATATCATTCTGTTCATTAAAAAAAAAAGTGACTTGTCTTTTGGTGTGGGTGGCAGGTAGATGCATACTAATTGGCTGGAGTCGGAAGTACAAGCAAAATCTGAAGAGGCAACACCTGAAGACAGCCATTCTCAACACACAATCGGCACAGCTGAGTGATAATGGACGGAATGATATGAAGCAACTTCAAGTGGAGCTCATCAATGAGCTGGACCTAAATTCCCTCAAACCCTGCTCTTAAGCTCACCCAAGGTCTCAAAGTCAGAACTTAGAAACAAAGCTTACACATTTATATTACATATACTAATATTAGACCTAAATTAGCACAATCGCTGGAGGACATCTTTGTTTCAAGGGCAGAATGTTGGCAGAATGATAGAGAGACATGTCCTCAAGGAATCTTCTAGGTATGTTCTTGCCTCCGGATGATTATTGGGACATGAAGTTGAGAGCTGGACAGTGTATTTAATTTCTTAGTGCTAGTGTTTAAGAGATGTACCTTCGGAAATTCTAAGAAACATCTCCCGAACTAGTTTTACTTGGCATTCTCCCTCATAACTAAGGCTAAAACCCTTTGATTTCTACAAATTATATCTAAATGCAAGAGGCTTATATTTTTTTACTATTATGAAAAGTAAAATACTAAAGTTCTATTTCCTAAAGTTATAAAATAAAACATTTGTTGGCTTTGTACTTCAGGCCACCTGCGCCTTCCTTGAGGAGGAAATTTAGGATCTCCATTGTCCAAACCTGGCAGTACTTTCATACAACAAAATGAAAATATTGCTGGAATATCAGTGTGGCAAAGGCTTTCAAAATATATCAGACCCATGGGCACTTTTTCTTTCAATAAACTTTCCTTTTCCTCTTGAGTAAGAAATAAATAAAAATTATATACTTGTATACAGAGCACAGTACATTTGTACCAATTTTAGCTTCGATTTAGCTCAAGATGTATTAAAATATGTATTTATACAGAGAGGTATGATGTGAGTACTATAGAAATATCACCATCAACATAAACTCATCATTTATATTTTGTTATTTCACTGCTATTTAAAATACTTTGTTTGAATATATGGTTATCCCTCCAACATGGGGGTTGGTATTAAAGTGTGACACTTACTTGAGAGTCACTGTAAGATCAAAGTTAGTCTGGAATACATCCGAGGAATTGTTCTTTACTAGTTCCAAGAAAAGGAAAAATCCAGATGCCTTCTTGGGCAGTAGCATATTATACCTAAGGGTGGCCTAGAGAGGGTAGCAGATCATTAGAAAACCCAGTAGTAAGAACTGAAGGAATTGCTGCTTCTCTATTTCCATTATTGATATGCTTTATATCTTTTTTTAAAAAAATTATTTATTCATTTATTTTATTTTAATTTGACCAAAGAGAAAGAGAGAGAGAGAGAGAGAGAGAGAGAGAAAGCAAGCTGCCAGGGCTGGGACTTGAACTGCCATCAGCCATATGGGAGTCCTGTGCCCTTAACTACCACGTCACCTGCCAGCCCCAATATGCTTTATATCTTTACCATCAGGGAATCAGACACACAATCAATCAATCAATATATCTCTCTCTCTCTTAAGAAGTTTTTGCACTCACTGGAGAAAGACAGACACAGTGAGAGGGAGAGAAATCACTCCCCGGGGGGGGATGGCCACGCCACAATCCCTTCTCTTCCATTCTCCTCCCAGGATCTTGGGCATGCACGCACACACACACACCCACACACCCAGCCACTGGCTCTGGGACTCGAACCATGGTCAGCCATGTGGGAGTCCAGCTACATAACCACTACACCATCTGCTAGTCCTGACACACAATCTTTAATAACTTATTAATGGCACCTTCCATGTTAAACATGCTGTTATTAATATCAGAATACTTTAACAGCAATATTCTTCAAGAGACTTGTGTTATCCTACTATTTGTAAGAGTGAATATCTCTTCATAAAATAAGATTTGATTAGAAAACATAAATTAGAGACAAAGTAGAGATAATCAAGAAAATACACAAAATGACAAAACAACACTTCATTTATAACTGAACAGAGAGTCTGACTCTTTTCATTGGCAAACATGCATCTCCCACTTAGGTAGATTACTATTACCTGGGCAAATACACAACCTTGTCCTTCCACGTCTACTGTGTAGTGTCCATTCACTTTTGTTAGTTCTGAGCGCTGGACCAGCAAGCGGTTATTACTGTTCACCTGGAAAATCTCACTGGATTCTTTGCTGCGAATGGTGACAGTGTTTCGACCGTTAGAGTAGGTTAACTTCAAGTAGCGGGTTATGGCAAGAAGACAGACGGCAGTGTCCTGCATAGAACAAAATAAGCAATGAGTCACGCAGTGTTATGGTGTAATACCAGTCATTTCACTACAGCTTAAAATCAACCCATTGAAATATTCCTAACACAGGTCCTCAGAACCCTGAGGATCAATACCCTGAACAATGAGGAAATATATTTGTGTGTGTGAGTTGTTAATCTAAATGAATTCTGCCAACTACCTACTGTGTGCTGGATGCTGAAGGTTGGCATGCTGACGCCACACAGGAGGTCCAGGTGTGATTCCTTTTTCTTAGAAAATGCTGGGCCCCGTGGTGCATACCTGGGATCCCAGCTACTTGGGAAGCCGAGGCAGGAAGACAGTGATATAGCAAGGCTTTTTCTAAAACACCATACAATTTTTAAAATTTAAAATAATGAATTAGTTTTCTTCAACAAATTTAATCAGATTTTAGTTTTCTAAAAGATTTTATAAAATATAATCTCTGCTCTTGGAAATAGTGTCAAATATGTTCTAACAGTTAAGGCGTTACATAACTTGGTGACTTTATGGCTGCCTTAGCAGTTCTTATGTTCACTCTTCTTCAAAGAAGGAGGTTAGAATCAAGAAAAGATTTTTAGAGATTCACTATCGTAGGTTTGTGTGTGTGGTGGTTTTTTTTTTTTTTTTTTTTTTTTTGTGTTTTTTTTTTTTTTTTGTTTTTTTTTTTGCTATAAGGCATGTGCACTTGCCAGAGAGACAGAGTGAGAAATCACCCCTAGGAGGGATGACCATGCCACAGTCCCTTCTTCTCTTGGGATTTTGGGTACACACACACAAGAGCCTGGCATGAGTTTTAAGCCACCAGGTCCAGGATTCGAACCGTGGTCAACTATGTGGGAGTCCAGTGATGTAACTATTATGCCATCTGCAGGTCTCCATATGGTTTTATCTAGACACTAAAACTAGACAAGAAGGGAAATGACAATTTTTCTTGTGGAAATTAAACTACTTTTCCTTGCATTTTCAATTTATTTTTCCCCGTGAAGAAAAGACGTATAGCAGTATTTTTCATACCCATTTCTCCCATTTCACCCATTTCTCCTGTCACTCATCCCTCTCATTTAGTTTTCCCAAAGTGAGACCACAGACCTAGACGGAAGTGTTTGTTGTTGGTCTGTATGTAGTTTGACCATAATGTCATCAGCTATCTAACCTACCACTAACCCTCTGGTGCTTATGAAAAACATCTCTTCATACTTAGATTCTATTTTTACTGTGTAAATGAATACATAAATTTGGAATAAATTTCTTGAAAAGGGGCTTTATTTGATTCATTTGCATATAGAAACTTCTAGTACAGTGCTTGATATATAACAACTGGTCAATAAATAATTGCTGGCTAAATAAAATAGGATCTATTATTCATGCAATATCAAATATTCATCCTTTCAGAAGGTTTTGGGGATTCTCTTTGCCACCTAGCTCACTGTAGCTGGTACCTTCTGTGTTAAACAGGCTGTTACTAATATCAGGCCCACATCTGTCACCTGGGTGGAAGAGAAGCCTCCGTGGGAATTCATCTGCTGGGCGAGCCACTGTACAATCTGACTGGCATAGGTGAGGTCTCGGACTTTCCCGGAAACGACAGCCAGCAGCACATAGCAAGTCTTCTCTGTCTCAGCAGAGGGCGCCTGGGGCGTGAAGGGTGGGAATTCTTCTGTCCTGGGTTTCTTTTCTCTTTCCCAGTAGATTACATTATCTGAGAAAAGGGAAGTATAGTTACATAGTTCCTATAAAAGCACTGATTACTCCTATGACAGACGGAAATGCCATTCTTGGCTTTCCTTATGAGCTGAACTGTGTCACCCTAACATTTGTACTGAAATTCTAAGCCCTAGTAGTTCAGGATGGGACCATACTTGGAGACAGGACCTTTAAAGAGGTGATTATTAAGAGGAGGCTTTTAGAGTTGGCTGCAATCCAGTGTAACTGTTGTCCTTATAAGGAAACGTGGACACACAAAGGGAGGCCAGGGGTGTGCACTTGGTCGCCTACGCATGAAGAAAGCACACTTGCTAGCTCCTTGATCTTGGACTTCCAGTCTCAAGAGTTGTGAGATCACAAATTTTTGTTGTGTAAGTCACATAGACTGTGGTATTTTGTTATGACACCCTCAGAAAACTAATATATCAAAAACTGGGACCAGCAGTTGGCATAATGGCTCTGTCGCTACACTCCCATGTAGTCAACGGTGGTTCGAGTTCCAGGCCAGGTGGCTTAAATTCACACTGGGCGCATGTGCGTGTGTGTCCAAGATACCGTGAGGAGAATGGAGGAGAAGGGATTGCAGCGTGGCCATCCCCCCTGGGTGATGATTTCTCGCTTTCTGTCTGTCTCTGTCCATCTGGCGAGTGCAGCACCCTATATAAAACCTCTCCCCAAAAAACAAAAAACAAAAAACAAAAAAAAACCCACCCCCCCAAAAAAAACCCCAAACTAATACATTGGAAAACTAATATAGCCATAAATAGTAACTTCTAAAGTACAAAACAGCACATCATTAAGTTTCACAAGTCCTCATTATTGTCTATGGCACAGTCACTATGTTTAATTTCCTTTACTTCTCATTTGAGAAGAAGCCAGCAGAAAAGAGAAAGAGGAAAATATAAAATATAGGATTATATTTATCTCTTTTCTTTTTGAGAGGTTTTTGCTATAGGGCACGTGCACTTGCCAGAAAGACAGAGAAACAAAGAGACAGAAAATGAGAAATCAACCCCTGGGGGGGGTGGGGAATGGCCATGTTGCAATCCCTTCTCCTCCATTCTCCTCTTGGGATCTTGGGCATGCACACACATGTGCCCGGCATGAGTTTAAGCCACCAGGTCTGGGACTCGAACTGTGGTTGACTACATGGGAGTCCAGTGACATAGCCATTACACCAACTGTTGGTCCCAAAATATAGGATTATATTTAAAGAGAAAGTGCCATGAATGAACCCTGCAAGAGAGACAGACATATACTGATGAGTATACTATGAAACTAGGTATGAGTGTTTAATGTAGTTTCTATATGATTACTTAGTAAGTTTCATCACTATCTTTTTAAGATCATCATCTCCAATCACAAAAATGAATAACATGTGCTCACCACATGAGAGACACAGAGAGAAAGAGAGGGAACACGAGAAAGTCCGCCGCCAGGTCCAGGACTTGAATCATTGGCAGCCATGTGGGAGTCCAGCACCCCAAACATGAGGCCACCTGCTGGCCCCAACACTTACTTGTTTTTGTAGCTGATCGATCCAGAATCTGGAGTAAGGACTCCAGTTGTTCCTCTTTTCCAGCTAATGCAAAAGCATAAGCAGCCATTGCACGAATATAGCCGTTAGTGAGACCATTTTGCAATGCGTCCTCTAGGCAGTAGAGTCCATTTCGTAAAGCAGGAAACTAACCAGGAAGAAGATTAATATATTTAAAGTGATAACTGAATGTTTTGTAAGACTGCTGAATATTTAAACTAATCACAGTTTATAATGAATATGATATATCCTGGAGGTGTACTTTACATACTAACCTATCCATGTGCTATATTTTAAAATGATCATTATAAATTTGTAATGCTATTATGGATAAGTAAGAAATAAAATTTAAATAGTAAAATATGGCAGCTTTTCTATCTGGCCAGTCATATTTGAATTATATAAATGTCTTTTATATGGCAAAACATACAAATGTATGTTGAGACCAAAGGAGTTTTACTTGAAACCTAAAAGAAGAAGCTTACATTTCTGAAGATGATTTGCAAGATATACTAATGATCCTGAAAATTCCTGGCATCTTGGTTCAAGAATAGATTCTGGAATCAGAGAACCTGAACTATATATAGATTGAGAAGTAGCCAGGATAAATCACGCCCAAGTTGAAAATATTTACTCATTGATTGCTTAGAGAGGAACAGACCACAAGGTTATGTTTTTACTTAGAAGAGGGGTTCTTAACCTGAAATTTGGGGCCAAACCTCAAGAGATAGGTAAATCCTTGAAACTGAAGGAAAAGCTTGTATATGTGTCATTTGTGCGTGTTCTCCCTCGGGGAAAACCAGTGTGTTTGTCAAAGGTGTGCATGCATCAAAACGTTTAAACAGAATCAATGTAAAGGGTGGTAAAGAGTTAGTTGTCTTAATGGCTAATCCAGTTTGAGAACTTCAAACACTCTAAATCTGTAGTCTACTTAATGTGCACTCAGTTGACTGAAACGAGGTGATGGGGATTCATACAGCGACAGTGAGTCCAGCTTCCAGGAATGCTCCAACAGCATATGCAGTGAGTAAGATGTCTTCGTCTCCGCCCTACAAGCAAGGAGAATATGAGTCATCGAGGACAGGAGAGCACAAACGAACAGCTATTTGGAAGGGAAACCAGGAATGAAAGAAGTACTGGAATCGATCCCATTATTCAGAAAAACCTCCTGAACACACATCATTTTAAAATTAGATTTGAAAACTAATATAGAGAAGAAAATAAAACAGCCCTGCTTTCTGAGCAAGAATCCATTCAAGTCAGTGTAATAATCAGATTAAACCTAACACCATTAGTTTCAATTATACTTAATGACATATATAAACGGATTTATGTAACCTAGCATTAAGCATACATTCCAAGAAATTCATATGACTCTGTTCTACTCTATTTGTAGTTGGCAAAAAAGCAAATAAAGAATTTGTGAAGGAGTAGAATAGGATGTTGCTGCGAAGCTTCCTGAAAATCCCTGGAAAAGTGCCATAGATTACAACAGTCAGGTCTCACACTCGCCTACAGTGTAACATAAAAATACTCGTAAACCATGCGGTTTACAAACTGCACGTAAAAATCCCACGGGGAACTTGAACCTGGATAAACCGGCATTCACTCAAGCGATTCTGACTAAACAATTTAGGAATAAGACAGAGGAAATGTGTTTTAATAGATACCCTACACTTCAGTGTGAATACCATTAAGAATGGCACGTGGGAGCCACTGATCTGGTACAAACCTCTCATTTCATCTATTTAAGCAAAAATGAACCTCTCTTGTCCTCAGATAAGAACTATATCCAGGGACTAAGTTTTCAAAGTGTCAGTCGCTGCAGACGGTGGTCCCTGAAATATAAGGGGACCCATAGCACATTTAAATATTAACACCATTCTTCAGTATGTGTTTTTATTTTTTCCTTGCTTCTTTCTTCTTCCTAACTCAAAATATACACCCACACATATACACATACACACTTAATTGTAGAGAAAAAATAGGGTAAAATCAGACAAACTGAAGCAGTGTTCAGTAGTGAATTCAATTTCAAAAGAAAAAAGTGTAGAAGATGTTTTAAAAGAGAATATGAGAAAGTCTGACTGTTCTACATAGGAGCAAGAACTCTTCATCAGCATCCTTTCATTGTAAGGAATACATTTACAATTTAAAGGCACCTCCCACTTTCCCCAACAGCTGACCACCACCATCCCCCCAAAAAAACAACTATAAAGCAAAAAGTTATAAGAAAGAGGAAATTTACTGATCTAAAAAAGTTAGCATGAAGTAAGGGTCAGACGCCATAGAATGTAGTCCAGCCCCATCAAAAACACTGGCATGTGCAAATGGCAACATGCCTTCTACCCTGGAAAAGCTAGGGTCTTTTTATAGTAGTAAAAGGGTTACAATACATGTAGGTTGTTGGGGAAAGTGTTCCCACCAGACAAAGGAACAGAGAAGGGCCTTGTGGAGATAAAGAAGGGACAGCATTGAGGAAAGCCCACTAGCAGAAACTGTCTGAAGCAACTTACTGGCAGCGCTGATTCCAAGACCTGTAATTACCTTGAGAAAGAACGTCCTGTGACATCAGTCATGTCGTCAATAGAGAGTAGCCAGTAAGCAGGGTAATCAGCCACCCCGTCTTCCTCATAGTTCCTTCACCTTTACTAGTTTCAATTTTGTATAGCAATCTCTTTTCTAGACACACTTTACCTTCACACTCCCAATGACATAAGGACAAAGCGATTTGAAAACATTTTGTATTGAAATTAAATACCAAAAGGAATTGACGTTTGCCCATATTTTGAAGCGGATTAGATTTACATGCCGCAGTCCAAGAACAGGAGTGGTGATCATAAAGAAGGAGACCATAGAAAAGCCAGGATATCTTAGGCGCAGCAGGCAGGCCATGGGATTTTGAATATCCAGGAGGAAACAGAATGGTAAGGGAATAGAGGGCATGGAATGGGGTGGGGGCAGATGCCACCTGCGAAGAAAGGAAGTCAGAGGCTGGGAGAACGCCTAGCGCTTACCTAAGTATGGGCGGGAGAAGGAGGGGGGTAGATGACACCAAGGACGCACTTTACCTCACGTGCATTTCGGCCCAAGGCAAGCTTGACATTTGTGCTTCTCCTTGAGAGGACATTGGAGGAACTTACTTTTATGAAGCAATTAAATTACTAGACACTCTCCCCAGAACTTTCATGCTATCCATGGATGGGAATGAATTTACATTTCTCATAAACTCAAGACTGCCCTCCTTAATATACATGTCTGGCTCCTAAATTAGGGTTGTTTCTTCTCTAGACTCCCTTTCTGTTCCCCTTCACTCTGACTTCCAGTTTATTTACTGAAGAGGACTAAAGTCTGAGTGAAGCAAGCAGATTTATGATTTACATCTCGGTTAGGGTTAAGCATGGGGACCAGCAGATGGCATGGCAGGGTAAGCATGCTCATGGCAGGACCGATGCTGTTGACCAGTATATTAGGTCGTTGGGAAAATCATGGCGTATTGTCTATATTTTTCTATGCAAAACTGCGTCATGACTTTCCAGACAACCCAATAGCACAGCCTGTGACAATGCAGACCCAGAGGCCTAATATTCACAAGGAAAATTGTCTTGTTTCAGATGAAGTAGGTAGGAAGGCAGGCAATGGACAGAGGAGAGAGTTCTGTTAGTCTCTCACCTCCCAGGCATTGTTGAAAAGCTTGCCATCACTCCCAAAACAGCCATTTACTTTCTGTTGGCTGGAAAGCCAGGTTAAGGTCTGTTTCTGCACGTCTTCATCGACGAATACGTATTTCTTCATCGCCTCCAGTGTCTTAAAAGTGAAGACACTGAGCCTGCAATGCAAATCACCAGAGCCCAAGTCAGATAAAAACGAAGCGATGATGTCAGCTACTCAACAACAGATCACCTTTGTTCCCTTTGGGTAGTGAATGCATTCAATTTGTCTACTGTTGACTGAAACCAGTCTTTATTGACAGGGACTCTTTCTATTAGGTCAGTAAAATATGAGCAGCAACATGTGAAAATGAGAGTAGGTACGTTTTAGCATGTTTCCACCCCAAAGTCTCCCTAGATAGTCCATTAGATTCCTCACACATAGAGATAGAACTGATGTAATTAGATATTTGGTGCCTCCCAGTTTCACTTTCCTGAAGCTATACAACACTCTAAGAAGTATAAGTAAGACGCCATCTTCCATGGAGCTAATTAAGCAGCTATGCAAGTATAGAGGGCTGTTAATGAAATGATCAGAGTGCTAAGCAAATTGCTATGAGGCTGTAGGAACAGTGCATTAGAATTAGAAAAATCAGAACTAGCCCTGTAGCTCAGCAGTTAAGGGAACAGTATTCCACATAACAGACTGATTTGAATCCCAGTCCCAGTGGCTTGGAAAACATGCTGGGTACATGTACATACATGCTCAAAATCCTAAAGGGAAGAAGAAATGGAAGAAAAAGATTGTGGCATGACCCTGTCCCATCGGGGGGTGTTTTCTCTTTCTAGTGAGAACACAGATCCTTTAGTAGGAAAAAATATATATATATATATATATAAACCTCATAGTTTTATCTGATTCTTCTCTGTAAATCAGAAACCTACTTTACTTTCAGAACTCTACTGAATTCTTTCACAATTCATTACAAGCCTCCCCTCAGGTAATTTCTGTATTAGTTAAAATAATATAATATTTTTATCTCTCACCATATGCTTCCTTTTTGGTTCCTCTGCCCAAACACACTATATGAACCATCATAGTTTTTGAAGGACAACTGCTTTTGATAACCTAAAATACAACATTGCAGTTAGTGTTTTTCGTTTGTTTGGTTTTTGTTTTGACAAAGTTAGAAGAAAAAGAAAGGTGTGGTCCAAGTCCTGGGTTTTGGTATTAGACAGAAAATTACTAAGTGAATTACAAAAAAAAAATAAAGTGACTAATTCAATTTTAATTTCTAAAACTCAGTTTCTCTATTCATAAGGGAAAAAAATAACTCTTACATTTTAAGGTTTTGGTAATGAGATAATACATATATTAGGTTGTCAGGAAAGCCATGACATATTTTTCTATGCCAAAATGACTTTCCTGATAAACCAATAATATAATAAGCACAATTCAATTGGCTCATCATTGAACTTACTAATTACTTACTATTTCCCCCTTAAGTTTATCTTGCCTCATAAAGAAAAGAAAACACAAGGACATTAGACCCCTAAACTTTTCTTTAAGATCACATTATCCATGGTTTCTGTGCTCTCTTTCTACACACATATCCGATCACTTCACCGTAATTGAAAACAACAGAGTGAACAAATACAGAAGGTGATAAACGAACCATTTATAGCTATTAACAAGGACAACACAGCAACCAAGGTAGCTTGGCAAAATATTAGTCATTAAAAAATAACTGAATTCATAATTTGAAACATGATAGTTCTAAACCTAAAGCTATGTGGCCACACAGATTTTGAAGTCAAAAAGAAAATGTTGCTAGGATTCAGAGTCCCTCAGTTCAGTTCCAACTTACACCCCACCCAACTCCACTTTTTGAATTCTGGTATGAGTAACAGCTAAGTTCAATGGCTATGGGAAGAAATTACTTGAATCTTCTCACCATTAGACAAGAAAAAGAAAGCCTTAGATTTAACTTCTTCTGTCAACTGTTCAGTGGACTTCAGATAATCGAGGACATAGGTATCAGAGGCTAAGAGGGCAATGTTCTGTTCTCCACATCCGTACGGCATCTGCAGAAGGTCCTCTAGATTCTGCCTTGCTAGTCCAAGAATATCTCCTAAAACAGGAAAAGCAGAAAGACATTTTGTTATTGTTGCCACCTCAGCCCTCATAACCACAGATGAAAGGACATAGAAGTAAGAACATTTAACATTGAATCCAAAAGGTAGAAATGGAGAACGTTTCTAGAGATAATTTTTTAGAGAGGATAGTCATGAAAGAGAATTTAAAGGGGTTTCTGGTATGAAAAAATACTTCTGATAATCTCATTACCAGACCGAGGGGACATTAAGAAAGTAAGTTTGTTTTTGTACTTGCTAGTTTGTTTCTTGAGAAACTGACCCTATTATAAACTGTAATCCATCCTACTCAAAAAGTGTCAGTAATTATAGACGAAGAAATTTATAACAGATTTTTTTCTTTTACTGAAGGAATTTCCATCATTTTTTCTTTTAGTGGTTTTTGCCTTAGGGCTTGTGTGCTCACCAGAGAGAGAGAGAGAAACAGTGAGAGTGGAAATGAGAAATCATTCCTCAAAGGGGATGGCCATGCTACAATCCTTTCTACTCCTTTCTGCTCCCAGTAACTTGAAAACACACACACCCTGCATGATTTTCAAGCCGCTGGGTTCAGGTCTTGAATTACAGTCGGCATTGTGGAATTCCAGTGATGCAACTACTACACCATCTGCTGGTCCCTGCTGGTCCTCAATTTCCAGCATTTTTAACAGGCAAAATTTATTCTGACTCCAAGAGGCAAATTTCATATTTCATATTAATTGGTAATGATAGAACCTTTTTATCCCCTGAATGCTGGTTCTCATATACCAGAACTAATATTTCCCGGGGACATAGGTTTAAACATGGTACTGTAATCTCTCTCGGTCCCATGGAAACAAACATAGAGGTTGATCTAAATGATAATTTCCTCCAACGAATAGCATAATAAATCACTCCACCTGATATTTTAATATTTTTTCTTTTGGACTACCTCAACCAAGATTTTCAAATCATCATGGAACATAAAATTTAACCAACTTACCCAGAATAGTGAAAAAGGCTCTGGCTGATCCTTCTACCATATTACTAGGTACGTCCAAAACTACCTCCTTAGAGGCTCTCGTACCTGAAGAGAAAATTTGATTAAAAAAAAAAAATGTAGGTATAACTTCCTTTTTCAAACAATAGCAGCAAACGTGGGATATTAGGAAACACATTTAATTATTTATTTTACTTTTATAGCGTGCTTGTTAAAGGAGACAAAATTTGGTCTAGTTTAGAATAGCAACACATTTAGAAAATAGTATATAAATCTGTGTGCTAGTTGTTGGTCACCATTCTCCATTTAGTTAGTGCCTCAACTATTCATGTATGCAAAATCATATTACATTATGTGCTGTTTGGGCATACTCTTGACTGTCCATTGTCCACCATTGTGTGATAATTGTATGATGAGAAGCCAGGAAAGTACAAAATGAAAAAAAAAAAAAAAAGGTTGAGACAGGCCAATAGCAAAAGCGAACTAAACAAAGATCTTGTAAACATAGCATACTTTTTGTTTGCTAAAATTCTATGATGAAGATAAAGCAAGAAGTAAAACAATCTTCCATGAGATATTTTTAAAAAAATCACATGGAAGTAGAGTAACGTGGAAGGACAGAAAAAAATATGGACTCACTGATAAACTTTCTCTAGAACTAATTTGACTGGCTAGAAATTCTCTTACCTTTTGTACAGATAAGAAAACTCTGGGTTACTTCTTTTGTAATACCTTCAGGCTGTCAAAAGTAAACAAAAACAAGCACAAAAATGAATCTGGGTCATCTTTCCATGAAGGAAAGCTAATCAAGCATAAACTCACATAAATGTGGATGGTGCGTACTTGTTTCTGTGAGATTCATTCTCTGATCCTATCAGAAGTCGCTGTGATGAACAGTGACATTACCAGCACCCATTTTAGGCTCTGTGTTTCCATAGGCTTGACAAGGATAACCTCAGTGCCATCTGGGACACTGTCAACTCCGCTCATCCTATTTTGGCATCTCCAGTATACGAAAAATGCCATTTTAATAGAATAGGATGTGCCAAGAAGCAAGGCAAGAATTGTAATCCATCTTCTGACCACGCTTGTTCCTCTTAACAAGTGTTGATTCTTACTAAAGATGACAAGAATTTCACAGCTTGGGTAGGAAAAGTAGATTTGTCTCTTTGATTTGAAAATCAGTTTTAAAAAGAGAGGGAAGAGGAATAGATGTACTTCCCATAATGTTTCTCAGGAAACATTATGAGTCATGAGCAAACAAAAATAATGATCGATTCAATTTCAAGCGTTAAGCTTTATTATTCTGGATGAGGTTACTAATTAAAGAAAGGATGCATGTGGTGCACTTTTTTCCTTTAAGTTTTGTGATAGAGCTTGTGCACTCACGAGAGAGAGAGAGAGAGAGAGAGAGAGAGAAAGTGAGAAATCACCTGGGTGGGGGGAGGCCACGCCCAAATCCCTTCTCCAATCTCCTCTCAGCATTTTGGGCACACACGCACATGCGCATAACGTGAAGCAGCGAGATCCCTGACTCAAACTACAGAGTCAGTAATGTGGGATTCAGAGCCTTAACTTCCAGGCCACCAGCTGGCTCCAGGTGCTGTTTTCATTCATCCAAAATAGCATGTCTTTGTTAAAAGTAGTTGTGGTCAATTAAGGAAAATGTCTTAATAGTTAACCTCATGGAATCTGTCTATTTCTTATCAGGAAGAGCCTGATGGTTTGTATGTACATTACCTCTGCCAATAAACTCTTGACCACGGTATCTTTCCAGTTTAGATTTTGCTGCTCAGTTGCTTTATTTGGACAAGCACTGCTTTGTCTGGATTCAGCAACTACAGTGATATTCACTTTACCTGGAAAACATTCCCCAAAATAAGTTAAATTGACACCTGGCTCCTTCTGTAACAGGATATAATTAGAGTCTGTGAATCATGTCTTGAATTGGCTGGACCAAATTGTATCAACATTTTCACGTTTAGACCAAGCAAACTTGCTGCTGCTTCTGTCCGGAGATAACATGATATGTTCTGTTTTACCTCTTTTAAGATTCTCAATATTAAACAAGTAACTTACTTACTTATTTAGTACTTGAGAAACTTTAGGGAAAATAACATTATGCAAAGCCATCTGAGCCAATTCCTTGATATCATCTATGATGGTTTCCTATAACAGTACACAGAATGAGAGGATGGAATGAAAAATAGTAAAATGCAATGTAGTGGAAAGGGCTCTGGACTGAAATCAAGTCCTAGCAAGAAATCCATTCTTCTTAACTTTCCATGAGATCACAGTATGTTTTGAGTCGTCAGAGAAGTCATGATGCATTTTTGCATAGAAGAAAACGCAAAAATATGTCATACTTTTCCAACAACACAGTAATTAAAATTGATTTCCAATGTCCTTATTTGTAAAAATTAAGGGATCAAAACGACAATTCTTTAGGCTTAATATTACTGATGTGACCATATATCACCATGCATAATCAATGTACTCTTGTTCTTTTTTTCTTTATTGATGTGTTTTGTTTCATTTGTTTGGAAAAGTCTTTGATGTTTGGCTCATAGAACTGTGTCCTCACTTTACGTTATCAAGTCAAACAAATGCATATGATATTCTACCTCGATTGCCGGGGTAAGATATTTGATGACATTGATAATGTAAAAATTGAGAAACTAAAATCTAATAGAAAAAATATTGGGTTGTCAGAAAAGTTATGATCCTTAACTTCCAGGCCACCAGCTGGCTCCAGGTGCTGTTTTCATTCATCCAAAATAGCATGTCTTTGTTAAAAGTAGTTGTGGTCAATTAAGGAAAATGTCTTAATAGTTAACCTCATGGAATCTGTCTATTTCTTATCAGGAAGAGCCTGATGGTTTGTATGTACATTACCTCTGCCAATAAACTCTTGACCACGGTATCTTTCCAGTTTAGATTTTGCTGCTCAGTTGCTTTATTTGGACAAGCACTGCTTTGTCTGGATTCAGCAACTACAGTGATATTCACTTTACCTGGAAAACATTCCCCAAAATAAGTTAAATTGACACCTGGCTCCTTCTGTAACAGGATATAATTAGAGTCTGTGAATCATGTCTTGAATTGGCTGGACCAAATTGTATCAACATTTTCACGTTTAGACCAAGCAAACTTGCTGCTGCTTCTGTCCGGAGATAACATGATATGTTCTGTTTTACCTCTTTTAAGATTCTCAATATTAAACAAGTAACTTACTTACTTATTTAGTACTTGAGAAACTTTAGGGAAAATAACATTATGCAAAGCCATCTGAGCCAATTCCTTGATATCATCTATGATGGTTTCCTATAACAGTACACAGAATGAGAGGATGGAATGAAAAATAGTAAAATGCAATGTAGTGGAAAGGGCTCTGGACTGAAATCAAGTCCTAGCAAGAAATCCATTCTTCTTAACTTTCCATGAGATCACAGTATGTTTTGAGTCGTCAGAGAAGTCATGATGCATTTTTGCATAGAAGAAAACGCAAAAATATGTCATACTTTTCCAACAACACAGTAATTAAAATTGATTTCCAATGTCCTTATTTGTAAAAATTAAGGGATCAAAACGACAATTCTTTAGGCTTAATATTACTGATGTGACCATATATCACCATGCATAATCAATGTACTCTTGTTCTTTTTTTCTTTATTGATGTGTTTTGTTTCATTTGTTTGGAAAAGTCTTTGATGTTTGGCTCATAGAACTGTGTCCTCACTTTACGTTATCAAGTCAAACAAATGCATATGATATTCTACCTCGATTGCCGGGGTAAGATATTTGATGACATTGATAATGTAAAAATTGAGAAACTAAAATCTAATAGAAAAAATATTGGGTTGTCAGAAAAGTTATGATGCATTTTTGCATAGAAAATCAAAGAAAAATACATTTTGACTTTTCAGACTACCCAGTCAATAGTCTGAAGAGACCAAACGCCAGAGGTCAACTAAAATGATTTCATAAATATACTCTTTGGGGAACCAGCAGTTAGCATAATGGCTATGTTGCTGGACTCCTACGTAGTCGACCGTGGTTCACATCCCGGACCCGGTGGCTTAAAACTCACGCTGGGCGCGTGTGCGTGTGTGCCCAAGATCCTGAGAGGAGAATGGAGGAGAAGAGATTGCGGTGTGACCATCCCCCCTGGGGGGTAATTTCTCGCTTTCTGTCTCTATGTCTCTGTCTGTCTGGTGAGCGCATGTGCCCTATGGCAAAAACCTCTCCAAAATAAATAAATAAATAAATATACTGTTTACTGCGAAAGCAATACAAAGAATACGTGACAAGCAATGAAGGACGTTTTAATGAACCAATTTTAAAAATTAGGGCTAGTGAATACCATACACAATATATTCAGCATTCCTTGTTTACTAGACTTTTTAACTTAGGCCTTCTCCTATATTGGAATAGGAAACTTACAAATGAATTTCTCACTATTGAAGATAATATATGCATGGAGACAATACCCTTTTCAGCATTTGGTCTCCATCTAAGTGTCCCATGCTTCTAGCGTAAAATGACATATTGGGTAAACTTACAGATCCTAGCATAGGATCTAACCATAGTTGACCATCGTGACTGAGGAGCAAGTAGGTGAGGAGGAAGTAAGATGCAAAAGAAATTAAGGCAAAAGTGGAAGCGTGAATGAAAATATGCCCTTCGTTTAGGATATAATGCATGCCCTAGAAAGGTCTTGCAAGTGAACATTTATGTTGTATTTTAACCACACTTTGCTGTTACACGAATAGATGGTGTGTGCTATTGACATAGGATCAACAATCAGAAATTAGATGATAAAAACAGAATTTCTACTGATAAGAAAAAGATCAGTTAAAGTGTGGAGGAGAAAAATCAAGTCTTTATAAAGAATGTGAGGAAAATCTATAGAGGCAGTACATGAGTAGGCCAGTTTTCTGTGAGAACCCAGCATAGACAGAGCTCCTCACCCAGCTTCTTTGGTGTAACTGTCCAGATGTACGTTTTCTTCTCTCCTGGTTGCATAATCTCACTGTTGTTGCCTTTCAAGATGTTGAAATTCGCTTCATAATTCCGAGATGCTTTCAATTGAACAGAAATCTAAAAACATAAATACATACATCAAGGAAATGAGGACAGCCCTGTGTTTTGCTGTTACTATTACACCTCTAATCTTAAGAAAATTCTGCTTCCTATATTTTGTTTTAAATTACTAAAATTAAAAGATACCAAATGACTCCTCTCTCAAGAAGATAAGTATGGGGACCAGCAGTTAGCGTAATGGCTATGTCGCTGGACTCCCATGTAGTCGACCGCAGTTCGAGTCCAAGACCCAGTGGCTTAAACTCACTTCCGGAGTGTGTGCGTGCCCCAAGAGGAGAATGGAGGAGAAGGGATTGCGGCGTGGCCATTCCCCCCGGGGAGTGATTTCTTGCTTTCTGTCTCTCTTTCTCTCTTTCTGGTGAGCACACGTGCCCTATAGCAAAAACCTCTCCAAAAAAAGAAAAAAAAAAAAAGATAAGTATGGAAGAACACACATTATCACGGAATGCCATTTTTGAAGCAATGCTTAAATAGTTGCTGTGAAATATTAATACATGATTATTTTTGTTTGAGGAATATGGGAACAAATCTTGTCACTGTGTAATATCATTTTACATGTGAGACTGAAGAAAATATGGCAATATTCAGGGAAAATATGGCAATATTCAGGGAAAATATTTAAGAATATTGGCTTTGTTAGATTTTTTTTCCCCATAGATCAGAAATGAAAGAACTTACCTCTACACATGTACTCAGGTAGCTGAAGACACTGACAATCAAATCAAATCGTTCATTTCGAACAACTGAAAAAGGTGAGGAAATTTCAACAAAGAAAGGCTGGGAGACTTCCAGACTGACTGTTGATGAGATGCCAAATCCAGCCTCACCGTTCACACAGAAGCCATTTGCGTCCCACTGGGTTATAGTGTCAGGGATGTGGAAGGAAAGATTTGCTGAACCTGAGGAACTACAAGGAGAAGTGGCTGGTAAAATGCATCTAACAAAGAAGCTAAATGTAATCCAGTCATTAGAAAGTATTAACTGAATGCTAAAATGAATAACAATGTTTAGGACATTAGATAAAAATTTTGAGAGTTGGAGTTCTATAAAATAACCTCAGAAAGGTCACATTTCTTTAAAAACTACTTTTTTTTTAATTGAGGAAATTTATATTGATGGGCATAAAATCAACAGAAGAGAAGCACTTGGCGAAGGGAAAACAATACTAGAGAAAAAAATGATATCGGTTGTGTGATCAGTACAAATAAACGAAGCATATTATGTACCACATATTTCATAAATATAACACTACTTATTTTGTATACCAAGAAATAAAAGTGAACAAAGAAAAAGAAGGCCCAGCCATGGTGTCACAGGTGGTAGGGCACTGTTTTGTGACACTGGGACCATACAGGAGGCCCCAGATTTGGATCCCAGGTCAACCTGAACCCACCAGAAACACCTACAGGCATGACATAATCTTGGTTGACTGGAGGGCTGAGACCTATTTGGGATTATTCTCTCTCTCATTCTCTCTCTTGATAAATAAATAAATATGCAATAGAAATATAGACACATAGGAGACAAAACTGTTAAAAACAACAACAACTCACTCAACACTAGTAAGAGTCCATATCCACGTCTCTGGAAAGTTTGTTCTTACTGTTTCTATCACAGCTCTTTCTACAGGGTTAACATTCTTCTCCATGGCAATACCATCTAAAAAAAAGATAAAACACTTTCTGTAAAGAGAGTAAAAGTATGTGTTTTGATGGTGCATGTCTATAAGTCAAGTCGTTCACTACACCTGCTTAGGGTGCTTAGTGTGATGCAGTGATTTGCTCCTGGAGTACATTGACGATAAATGCAAATCTCAACCTAGGCATTAGCATTGTATGCTCAAATATCTTCCATTATTAAAAGCAATAAAATATGGAGAAAATATATAAATAATCAGCCTACATTGTTCCTCCATAGCCAAATTTGGAGAAAGTGTCATTAAATTAAATCCCTCATCAGCCATTCTGGTGCCTGCCAGTTCCACTAACATTACTTTTGATAAAGTTTCTAATGGCACAAATATTGAAGATTCTTGAGAATGTATTCTTTGATTTGTCTGGCTTCCAGGTTGCATTTTACACTTAGTTACTAAGTCCTTCTCAAAATAGTTACTATTATTAACTTCCACAACACCACAGCCTTCTAGTTCTCTTACCACTTTTGCCATATTTCTCAGTTTCCTCTGTCTTTTTATCGTCGCCCAAGCCACTAGAGTCTTTCAACTGAATTACTAACATTTGAAACACTTCCTACCATCTTCATCAGCCCAAATCCCAGCAAAAACCTATTGCAAAAACCTCTAAAAAAACAAAAACAAACAAACAAAAAAACAAAACAAAAAACCTCCCTCTTGAACTACAAGTTTCAGGAAAGCAGGAAATAAGTCAATGTTTTAACAACATGCAACTCAGTTCTTGGCCTCAGCAAGTGTTGAATTAATTTACTAAATGAATGACTGAAGAGAGAAATTCAAATGAATGACTTTTGTTTTCAAAATATTTTACCCAGAGATACAACAAAGTTTCGGTGTTTCTGATAAAGCTCATTAAGTGTGGTTTTACTTCACGGTAGGAACTAGGAAACTTCAACCTCTTGACCAGGACTTCAGTGTGGTGTCAACTTTGGGAGTTTATTGGACCTCTTGAATATTTATTGAGTCTATCCTTACATAAAGTTGTCAAGTCCCTCATTTTTCTCAAGTGGAATTTCTTTTCTGTGTTTTGGAGAGGTTTTTTGTTATAGGGCACATGTGCTCGCCAGACAGATGGAGAGAGACAGAGAGACAGAAAGCGAGAAATCACTCCCCAGGGGGGATGGCCACACCACAATCCCTTCTCCTCCATTCTCCTCTCGGGATCTTGGGCATGCAGGCACACACTCCCGGCATGAGTTTAAGCCACCGGGTCTGGGACTCGAACCGTGGTCAACTACGTGGGAGTCCAGCGACATAGCCATTACGCTAATTGCTGGTCCCATCAAGTGGAATTTCTGATACCCATCTCCAGGATCAGCCTCCCTTCAGTGACTACTAATTTCAATGCAAGGCCAGAGAAATTTAAGGAATGTTATTCAAATATTCTCAGATGTATCTGGAATACCGCTTTGATTTTGGTTCTGTTATGAATACCTTGTTTCATTTGTATCCTTGTTCACATTTCTAAATCAGAAATCTGCCTACCTACATTATTCAGCTAAGAGTAGGCCCAGTTTGGGGCTTAGAGTTTTCTCAGTAGGAAATGGACTGATATTTGAACACATTTCTCTGATGCTAACTATCTGGGCATCAAAATGCCTTCTGTTTTGGGCTCTGTACATTATGGTTTAAATTGAGTAAGAGTATAGGGTCTATAAAGACACCACACTCTCTTGTATCACATTCACAATGACTGTCCTCCCATAGTACCATATACCTTGGGCAGGAGGTGTCTATAAACATTCATGAACAATGTGTATTATTAAAAAACTGTATTAATTTCAAATTTTTTGCACTAAAACTCTCCTTTTAATTCATTTGTTCCTACAAATTTTGTGATAAGTCTTCATGTATTTTTTGTTCTAGTGTATTTCTGACCATGTGTTCTACTAGTAGATGAAACTCCTCTTATAGCTAAAGTTAATTCTTCCTTAAATCCAAAGGCACTTCCAGACTGTCTTATTCTGCTTTCTCAATTGTAGGATATTTGGCTGCAGCCAAAAACTGGTATGATTCACATATAAAATCCTAATTGTGTGTAGTTTAGTTCCACAAATCTTTTTGGCCATTTCCTCAACCCAGAATCCTAGATCACCCACCTGCAATTCCAGACGGGGCATACTGCATCAGTGCATATCCTCCTGTGTCTAGCATCCGTGGCCTAGCGAATGGGTGTCTTCTCTCCTCTGAACATACTTCTGGTTTCCGGTAATTGAGATTAGTATAGACTTTCAGACCCATATTCTTAAGGAAAAATAAAGGTTGTTTATTCATTTTGTGGAAAAAAATTTTTGAAGTTACTGATATTATCATAATAAGTAGATCATAAATATAGATTTTTCTGATCTAGCAAAAGTCTGAGATACTCTGATAAATCCCATTTATTTGACTTACGGAAAATTACTAATTTAGAGAAAAAAATGGTAATGACTCTAATTATCTTCTTATCTGGCACTTATTGTCTGCCAGATAAGAAGATAATTTATCTGCTAGCCTTCTGCTTAGTATTTTACATTATTCTCTATTTCATTCTAAGGCAAAAAAAAAAATACTTATAAGATTGCTTTTAACCTTACCCTAGTCCCTAGTTAACATCACACACACACACACACACACACATACACACACACACACACACAGTGCGCACTCAGTAAATTGAAGAACTAGGACTTGAACTAAATTCTGTCTGATTTAATACTCTTTTCCTTTACCTCTATGATTGAAGTTATAAAGACCCTTAAATGGAGGCCTCAGCTTATCCAATCGGTAGTTTAGGTAGGTATATTACAGAATAGGGAATATATTTAGCCTCTTGATTTGACTATTTCAAACATCATCGGATTTATTGCAATATGTCGTAAGCTGTCTCATCACTTCTAACATGAGGCTTTATCATTTCAGCCACATTATTTTCAACAGAGAAGAGAAAAATCAACAAAAGTTCATCTCTTTTTCTGTAAGACAATTTCTGAGTACCTCTATTAGCAGATTATAAACAGCAATCTCAAAGTATAGGAAGAAAATGATATACTTGATAAATCATAAATATGGATTATGAATAGTAAATTAAATACTAAAATTAAAATTGAAATTAAGCATTTCATGAAGTGTTTGTGGTCTTACCCTGAGAATATCATAGGTGTCTCTGTCGCCAAGGTTGCTTACAGGTATGTAGTACAAGCCATTGTAGAACATATCTTTTTGAGGAATGCAAGGGTTTGCCTTGCCGTCATCAAGGTCGAGACCACGGTAGAAATAACCATATAAGTCCACATTTGGAAGCAGGTTGTACACCTATGAGAAGAATCACATGTGCTCCTAAGGATTTTAAGTACCCATTTTACAGTCACAAAATTGGCAAATTTGTGTCATGACCATTTATTCTTATTATTATAAGATCATGGTCATAATATTTCACCCAACCTTTTTGAGTCCACACACATGATACAGTCTCAAAAACTGATTATATGTTTGGGTATAAAAACTACAACATATGGCTTCATAAAGTAGAAATATTCCTGATCATGAGGCAATATAACTTGAATTTAAAAAGACAACTTCAACATAAAAGGCCTTTCTGCTTATGCATAATGAAATATTCTAATATGTAAATTTTCAGTAAAAGGGTAAAGACAAACTGAAACTATAAAATTTATAAAAAATAAAAATGGTATAATGGCCATATAACAGAATCTATGATGTACTTTATTTTTTTGCTATAAGGTCCATGCCCTTATCAGAGAGAGATGGAGACAGAGAGAGAAAATGAGAAATCACCCCCACCTCCCCAAGGGGCATGGCCAATCTGCAATCCCTTCTCCATTCTCCTCTCAGGATTTTGGGTACACTCACACATGAATCTGGTGTGATTTTCTGGGTTTGGGACTCAAAAAGGAGAGTTGGCCTGTGAGATCCAGCCTCCCTAACCTTCATACTATCAGCTGGCCTATCTACTGCATACTTTACAAGTAGAGATCAGAAAAATACACCTAAGCTAATAAAATAAACAAATTAAAAACTGTAAATTTCTTTAAAAAAAAAAAGCTAACAACAATAACAAAATAAAGCACTAGTAAGAAAATAATAAGTCAGTGTGGCAGTGTACCAAAAACACCTACATATTACATCAAATTAATGAATTAAATTTCTTAGGACATCTCACCATTCAGATGCAGCTCTTAAGTTAATATATAAATTCTGTACCATCACAACAAAAAATATTAGCAAGCTTTCTCCTGGAGTAAAACAAGTTGAAAATAAAGCTGATGTATGTCAAATAAAACATGAAGGAATAGCTAGGGAAACTGAAATTGAAGAGCTGTGGGAAGCCAGGGAGGGTGAAGAAATTGACTCCTACCAAAAATTAATACATACTACAACACTTCTATAATTAAAATAGTGTGGTACAGACACATGAAAAGACAAGTCAATGACATAGAATATACAGTTCAAAAATAAACATAACCCAAAATAGAAATACAACTTATGAGGAAAGTAGTATCTCGAATCATCACAGCAGAGATGGTATCATGTGATACCTATGAAACACAGTAAGAAAACAGGTAAATAAAAATAAATGCTATTCCATATTCTAAAGAACTAAGCATCCCTAAACAAATTAATTGTTTTCAAGGCTCATACAAGAAAGTAGAAAAATCATTGCTTTAAGGCTCGTACAAATATGGGCTGTAATGTCTTATGCCAGAACATTGGTAAATACTAGCAACATGGTTTGGGCATGTCAAAAAGACATAGGGACAAACTTGAATATGCTCCTAACTGAGCCAACTTGGGACAATTTAAGCACAGATAGAGTTGAGAATAGTAATTATAAACCACTGAGTTGAGAATAGTAATTATAAACCATGTGTATAATTAAAGATGTAGAGGTGGAACTGGAATATGTCTCAACTCTCATAGCAATATTGGTTTATACAAGACCTATCACTGGACACTGAGTCTTAGCAGCTACATTGATGATATGTGGGCTAAATACATAGTCTTCATAAGTACAAATTGCTTATTAGTTCAAGGGGAAAAATGATCACTGGAGATATAAGAAAACATCTCTATTGGAGTGATAAAATAAAAATTACCATCACCAGTGATGGGCAGATAGGTCTTGTGTACCTTGGAAGTGAGACCCCCCCCTGAAAAACATACAGCATCACTTATGTGGTATTCTGGCCAGGGATGCACAACCACCCCATAATCATGGGAAACATCAGACGAACCTAAAATTATCAACATTCCATTAAAAACTCAAAGTTTGCTGTTCTATCACAGTAACCCAGCCAGTAGGGCACTGCTGTGTGAGGCTGGGACCACATGGGCAATCCAGATGGATCCTGGACCAATCTGAACAGGTGAAGTGGGTGCAGTTGCAGTCTTAGCTAGTTGGGAAGCTAGGGTAGAGGCTAGCTACATGACTCTCTCTCTCTCTTTTTCATGCTCTCTTATCAAAACAAAACAAAACACTAAAAAACCTACTTGCATTCTTCAAAAATGTCAGTTTTATAGAGGATTTAAAAAAGACTCTGATTCAGATAAAAGAAAACTAAAGATACATGACTACTAAATGTAGTATGCATGCTGTCCTGAATCATGTACTATAGGTGTGGGAGGCTGCGCACCAGCAAATATCGCCGGTTTCTCAAAGAGCAAACAATTACACAATGTCAAAGGCCATGATTGACTCCCCTTCAAAAACTTCACCTTCGGGATCGAGCCGGCCAACAGTTCCGGACACCAGGCGGACTGAGGCTGCAGGCCCGACCAACCTGGTACTGTCATCCATTGTCTTATCCCTTTCCACTAGCCTTTGGACTGTTTGAATTTTGGTGAGTTGAGTAGCGCGCGGCGCGCA